TTTAACATTTATATCTGCAGGAATGTTTGTATTCTTCTGATAGTTGTAGCCGACTTATTAACACTGAACCTAATATACGAGGCTGTTTGTTTTACTGATGAGAGGAAACAAACGAGAGCCTGTTAACTTAATGCGTTTATTTGGTCTCATTTATAAAGTATTTAACGTGTGTGTATGTTCTCAGCAAAGTTGTGATTTATCAAACGTATATATATCTCTTCAACTGCTTTAACTAGTCAAGATGACATTTGCACTTCTAGCGATTCATAGATTAGACTTATTGTGAATCGTTGTCTACACATGTTTGTCACCTAAACCAGAAATACTTTAAATGTGTAAATGAAACAATCCCCTCGTCATATTATATCACATCATGATCAAAACATAAAATAAACAAAGAGAGATGATAGACTGTATATTGATTGCTGTGGTTTTAAGGTAAATAATTGTCTAAACTTAATTTTTCGCAATTGCATTCATGGTAACACTTAAGATGAGATGAAAAGGCTGTGAGAGTCTGGAAACATTTGGTTTAGGTCTCTTGAATGTTACTCTTAAAAAGCTATGACCCCTGAATACTAGCAGTGCTCATTCTCTGCTGTGGAGTGACTCTACTCCCCAGCTTAAAGCGCACTGCACAGTTACCTACTCTGCGTGTTTGTGTGTCTCAATCAGTCATGAGGTGTATTACGAGTGGATTAGTCGTCCAAGCAGAAATACGTGTACGTTCATGTGAGTGTGCAGCCATGACCAACTCTGCCCACAGTGTTCCTTAAATAGCAGTTCTGTTCAAATGAGAAACTGAACGCACTCTTTACATGGACTAATTATGAGACAATGAGCCCCTGGCCACAGACACGCTAAAGGCCACACCACTTTTCCCACAGGAGCAAGACTCATAGACTTTATAGTTGTTTCGCATCTTTTTCTTGGTGTTGTGTCTTTTTGTTGTCATTTTGCATCTCTTTGTGGTTGTTTTGTGTCTCTTCGTAGTAATTTTGAGTCTTTTTGAGGTTGTTTTGCACCTTTTCATACACCTTGTGAGTCTCTTTGAGGTCTCTTTGGAGCAGTGTTTCATCTCTTTGTAGTTGTCTTCTTATTGTTTTGTCTTTTTGTAGTCATTTTGCATCTCTCTGTGGTTGTTTTACACATTTTCACACTCGTTGTGAGTCTCTTTGTGTCTCTTTGCAGCTGTTTTGTGTCTTTTTGTCGTTATTTTGGTCTCTTTGTAATTGTTTTATGTTTCTTTGTGGTCACTTTGAGTCTCTTCCTGGGTGGTACGGGTCTCTTTGAGTGAAACTCTGGAGTTGAAGACCAGCGGGGACACTTTGGACCCCTGGGCCTGCGCCCATTAGGCCCGTGCAGTAATCCATCCGCCATTCTTAAACCTCCACTTTTCTCCTGTAGCCCAACATGTTCAAATGAGGAGATGACTTCATCAACCATGCTGCTGTATTTCAGTCCCACTTTGATCGTAGTCGCGGGGAAGTAGCTTAAAGCCCTTCTAGGGTAGTGAGTATTTAGGTATTTCACCTTAATCCACTGCAGGAATTTGGTGTTCAGGCCGTACTTGAGGAAAGGGAAGCAGGGAATTAACGTAGGTAGACAGCTGTGTCAGAGAATTTGCAGTGTTGTGTTTTTTTTCCCTCAGTTATCGTCTATGTCCAAACAGACAACACTAATGAACTTTATGGTAACATTTGTGTTGACAGATGGACCCACTCGAATTCTATCAAGGATCTTCTATTTGTCGCCTTTTAAAGGGGCGCTCCACTCCACTTCACTACTCACTAGGAGCATTTGCTCTGGCTTTGTAGAGAGCTTTTTAAAATGTAGGAAAATGAACAAAGGGACATCTCTTAAATAATATCTATTTGACATACACACTTGGGTGAAAGGGTGTAATGAAAGATGCTATCAAGTTGCACAACGGGAAGTGTAGGATCTAGTGTTTTTAGAGCTTGACGTATAGGGAGCAGAAGATTTTGACATAATGAGGTGCAACACAACATTTCTGGGGTGCTCCTCTTAAGGATCACTGCCCATAAACTCCGCCAAAAAACTCACATTTTCTCGCTTACCCCTCGTGGTATTTAGCGAGGCAGATCATTTAGATTCAGTTTTATTCAGTCAGGTTTTGAGCTACTGTATCTGCCTCGAAGATTTATGCCCCTGCCCCGATGCAACTCATTTGACGGTAATTTAATTTCTGTTGCAATAATGAGATTTGAAGACAATTTACATCAATATGTCTTCGCAGAGACAAGGTCAGGATATTCCTGGAATCTCATTGGAACTAGTTGTCTGTTTTGCAAATTGAAACACTGTAGAAACTAGCGCGGCAACTGTTTTTTATAATAGATCTGTTACTTAAATTAATTAATATCGTTTATTAATTCATTTAAAATGATCCCTATTAGCTGATGCTAATGGTACCAGCTAATCTTCAAAGGGACCGAAATCCAGTCCACCTCATTCATTTTACACATACTTTAAACAACATCACATTTGTGTTACACTGTGCTCCACTCATGTTCAACCTCTAATTGTGTTATATCAAGGAGGCGATTGTTCACATTCATTCCTTGTACATCCACTTACATCATCTTTAATTAAGTAGTCTTATGAATCAGCCTCGAGGGCCATCGCTGGGGAACAAGAACGAACCATTATACACTACCAACACTCGACTATCGATCATCTGCTTCAATAATTCATTCTTAAATGCTGTCTGAATGAGGACTTGCTATTGGATTGACGTATGTAAATTATTGATGGCATGATAAACGGTTTTTAAGGCATTTGATTTTGGGAGAGGTAATATAATTTGGTATTCATCTGCCGTTCTAGTGATTTGACTGTGTAAAAACGTGGGTTTAGTGGACTTAATTCCTTTGCTAAAGAATGTGTCTGCGCTCGAGGAAAGTTAACATGCACGCTGTCTGTGTTCCTTCTTACAGGGCAGTGTAAGACTAGGCTTGCAGCTCTTTGCAGCTCAGCACACTTGTTGATGCAAAAGACCATTCTTTTTATTGTGAATCAAGTTTTTCCTTTTGTATTCCCCTCTTTTGTTCATCGGTAGAGGCAGAAATCTCTGACGAAGATAAAACCTTCGCAAGTAATTCTACTGTACTGACAACGTCTACACAACCACAGCGGCTAATTGAGAAAATATGTTTTGTTATTTGGGTGAACCGAGCCTGTAAGAACTCCTGAAGCGAAGCAGTAAAATGAACACTCGAACGTCACAACAAATGCAACTCTTTTCATCATTTGTGATACGTGATCTGATCTCCCATTATGGCTCTCTATGTGCCTGCTTCATCCACTGTGGCATACCAGTGAGTGTGTATACGGTGTGTAGCCTGTACTAGCAGTGTTTTCTGTCTTTAAGTTGACACAGCTGGTGGGCAGGATGTCAGCTTCGGGCCTCTGTCTCTGTTTGTAATTCTCCCCTCAGAGAGCGGCCTTCCTTCGCTATAAATAGCCTCTACATATGTGTGTGTGTGTGTGTGTGTGTGTGTGTGTGTGTGTGTTTGTATGTGTTTTATGTTTTCCATGTCCACTCTTCCATGTCTCACTGTATTTGCTCTGTATGCTCAGTGTGTGTGTGTTTTGTGTGTGTTAATGCGTGCAAGATGATGGTGGTCGTAATGATGATGAGTGTGTGTAATGTGTCTCCCATGGAAAGATGCATGGTTTGATTTGATATCACACACACACACACACACGCACACACGCTGACTTTAGAGGAGACAAGGAGATCTTATTTCTTAGTTATGTCCTTCTGTTTTTTCATCATTCTTTTAAAGTTGCAATCTCTAATATATTAATTTAAATAAATGTCTGTAAAGTCACTATCTATTCCCATCAAAAAAAAGCTGTACCAGTTTTTCTCCATTGTATGCACACAAAACACACGTGTACTAATGTTCAACATGCTTTTGTTAGAGGGAACAGGATTATGTATCTTTTCGTACACACTGAGCTGTAGTCTCGACTACTTTTAAAAATCTATTACGCCCAGCAATCCTACACCTACACTTACATACAAACGCTACAGAGCTGTCCGCCATTGTCTGATATGAACGTTGTCGTCGCTACCGCATTGCATTGTGGGATATTTATGCTGTCGCAGTGTCCAGTGTTTGTCTACGGTAATATTTCACTAGAAATAATGTGAATATTATACTAAGAGTTGGACATAGTAAAAATCTCACACACTGTTTTAGCATACTAAATAGCACTCTGAGCACAATTCCATTGTTTTCACTGAAGTAGAAATGATATGTCCTTTTAGCCCGATCATCCCTGTCTCTCAGCCGATGGTTAGGTAACTATACTGCGTTTTTCTCCTCCTCCTCCTCCTCCTCCTCTGCCTCGCTTTCAAAATGACCATAAAATGTTCCCCGATGTGCAACAGAACATTCATGAAGTGATTAATTGATGATGCGAGTCTGTTTTTAGACTGTCAAACTTGCATGGTAGAAGACATATTTGTGTTTAGTGGAGTTCCTCTGAGTTCAACAGATGGCCGAGGCAGCAGAAGTAGTCAATGGGATGCCGTCCTCGCCCTTTTTTCTCCCCACCTCTTTCTCTTTCCTTTCTCTCTCTACTTCTACATCCGTCGTTCTTTTTCTTATTTTCCTCTCTCTGGCCCAGGGTAAAGGGGTTGAGTGAGAGTGATGTGTGTTTATAGCTCTTTAGAAAAACGACGGGTAGTGTGTGTGTGTGTAATGGGTTTCCTTTCTTCTCCACTCTTTGGCCTATTCCTTTTCTCCCATGCATGAAATTGCCTGTCAGATTCACACACACATACACACAAACAGTACACACTTGTTTTTATCTTAACAGTTTCCTGTAGATAAAACCAAGAGGGTGGTCTGCATCTGAGCGAGATGTAAGAAAGACTGGAGCTTTGTGTTATTTTCTGATGGAGCCTTTCACTGATACCATAAAAGTTTTTAAAACTTTTTTTCTTGTGTCTCTTGTCCCTCCAGACGAGTATAAAGGAGGGATTGTTGCTGAAACAGACCAGCTCGTTCCAGAGGTGGAAAAAGCGTTACTTCAAACTGAGAGGCCGAACCCTCTACTACGCCAAAGATGCCAAGGTAAGCTTACCAAGTGTATCCAGGATCAACACGCTAGACAAATGCTCTCAAGTCGGATACGTCTATAAATTGACTTGGTTTAGATGGAAAAGCTCATGCTGCACCTTTTAGTGTTGCTCTTCAGTGTCTGTCCTCTGATTCCACGAAAGATTTTCTTTAATGTCTCAGGTTCAGAGACAAGCGGACCATCTTAAAGGAATATTTCTTTTGGAAATACGCTTATTAGCTTTCTTGGCGAGAGTCAGATGAGATTGACGCCACTCTCACGTCTGGATGCTAAAAGGCCCTTTTGGAATTTGGAAACAATGATGACGTATGTGAACGTGCAGGCTATTAACTTCATGCAGCATTAACTTCCAAACATCGCGAATGAAACCGAAACAAATTGACTCGAAAGGTTCCGTGTGCTTTTAGTGAGTGGGTAGAATACATTGGCCCAATATTTAGTGGCCACATATACACATGTATTTGGCAGAGAAACCTAGCGTGTAACGTTACACCAGCAATAAATTAGGAGCATACAAGTCAGTAGAGTTTTAAAATGGGTGCTACAAGCATGCCACTTAACACGCTCACTTGTTGAACTGAAACACCTGTTGCTCTGACACGGTCGTGATCCTGTCGAAATTCTGACGAATTTGGCTGTTGTAATATCGATCCAGACAACCGAACGTGCAAAAACCAGACATTGTGATGGTTGCAACAGTTTTAACTCAATGTTTAAAGCTTGCTAAACCGCCTGGATGTTTGGGGTAAAACGCCACTTCCTGTTGCCAACATGTGCACGCATATTTCTGATGACGTCTGTTCTACAATGGTCTTTATGCAGTCCGAGCCAGCAGCCAGTTAGCTTAGCTTAGCACAAGGAAACAGGGGGAAGCTGCTGGCCTGACTCTGTCCAGAGATTTCAAAGCACCGGTGAAGTACACTAAGTAACACGTTATATCTTATTTGTTTGATCTGTACAAAAACCGGAGTGTATTTCGTTACCTTTGGACAGAGCTATAGAGGATACTTTCTGATGCTGATTATTTCCTGATAAAAGATCCTTCACTTCCCTTAATCACTTCAATTGATTTACCACCATCATAGTTTTATGAAATATCTGAAGTAGTTTTGGACTTTTTACTCTTGTTGACATCTCTTTCCCCTTTGCTTCTAATCTTCCTGGTCTTGAACATGTGTGTGTGTGTGTTTGTGTATTTATGTGTGTGTGTCTGCACGCGCACTAGTCTGGCAGTGCCCTGGCACACTGGCAGGAGCGGGCGCTGCGCAGAGTGTCCAGGAGTCGCGTGTGCTGGCGAGTTCTGTCCGTGTGCTGGACGGGCGCGCGACACTCCCCCCCACCTCTGGGTGCCAGCGGATCTGAGGAAGGCCTAGTGAGAATTCGGGTCAGCGCAGCACAGCCAGGGTCCAGACCACCATAGCAGCTTAACCATTCCCCACTTAACCATTCACCTATACGTGATCGTGCTGCATTCATGCCATATGGAGCTACTGGCTCAAGTTAGGTTTAATCTTGTCAAAGATATTATTATTATGGAAAAATAAACGGGGTCATTCGGACAGCGGGGAAGAAGTTTTGTCGAGGAATTGAAGGAAATGAAGCTCTTCCAAAAAAATCCACTCATCCAAACTTTGTGGATGAATTGTGCTGTATCACCATATGACATAGATGCACTGTATGTAGTAAGTATACAACTGCAGGTAGGCCGACAAAACACATGTGAACAGACTGTGAGGCCACACCTGGGCTGTCTTGGCTTTCATTGTTCTACACTGTGTGTTTCTTGTCCGGCCCGTGCAGCTTAAAGTCTCGTGATGGCCATGCTGGAAGAATAAATAAAAAAAGGAAGTGATATATATATGATATATATATACTGTATATATACTTTGTCTTCTTCGGTAAGGATTTGTGACCGGAACCTTACAAGTGAGTGTGTTCTCTCGGTCATGGCCAGACAGGGACGTTTGCCTCTATAGATAAGTGCCCATTCCCGACATGTCCATCCACTCTGGTGTCTCCGAGATGGCCTGACTGGCTGTGCTGCCCTGTGCTTAGGAAGCCTGACCTCCTCATTGATCCATCAGTGAGGCTGCATCTCAGCCCTGCAGCTTGTCCTATTAGCTCCTCTCCTCTCTCTCCTAGAAAACATCGGTAAACAATACGTTAAGGCCACGCGGGGTGAAACGAAGGGGAGAGGAGTAGGAGGCTTGTTGAGATGCAGCCGCTGAGCTAAGCTCTGGATCTATGGGTAACAGAGGGTCTGGACGCTTGCCTTTGTCCACCATTCACTGTCAGCTTTCATTACAGCTTCCCTCAAGACAGTGGAGCGTGTGTGTGTGTGTGTGTGTGTGTGTGTGTGTGTGTGCCCCCACACAAGTGTGTCTGTGTTGGGGCGAGTGGTGTGGTGAGTGAGTTAGAGGGAGAAGAAGTGTGTTAAAAGAATCGTAGAAAGTTAGCGCCCACATACATACGCACACGTGATGCGATGGTATAGCAGCCGAGAGCGCTGTGACAAGGGGGTGCAGTGTGTGTACATGTGTGTGTGTTGGCATGCCGTTCATACTTAAGCCCTCTTGGCTGACACTCCATGCACACATTCACACGCACTTGTAGGCATATGTGGAAGTGCTGAGACACATGCTCCCTCTACACACACTCACACACACACACACATAGTAAGCGTTGGCTGGTGTCCCTCTCCAGCCAGGCCTGGGGAGAGCGTCGTTAACTGGGCATTCCCTCTGACAGCTGCAGCAGCTCACTCCTCCCACACACACACACACATACACACACACACACACACACAGAGTCAGAGGGCATTCCTTTGACGGCATCGTTTTTTGGCCTGCGGCCCTTTAAGAGCTCAGCTGCCTTATACGCATCACAGCTCTGTCAGGATATCATGTTCCTGTTTGTAGTCTCTGGTGCTCCTCTCTGTCTGTCTGCTGGCTATATTGCTTAGAGTTGGCTCTGGCTCCTCCGCCGCCACATAGAAATCCAATAAAGCACATCAGCATTCACCGTCTTGTGAGTCGCACTCTTCTCATTTAGGTACAGAGTCAAAACAAAGGAAACTGCGGAGGGAAATCCTCACAGCAGCGAAGGTTTACGGTGGAGCTGTGTTGTGGTGAAGCGCATTTCCCCAGCAGATGGAACAAACTGAGTTATCTTTCAGAGGGACGATAAAAACTGGTCTCATTGTTCTTGACCAGAGCCATCAGCTTATTCTCCAAACTTCAATCAATCTATTTAAATATGACTTTCTGTTCATGCATAACCACAGAATATTGAAATAGATGTACTATTAACATGCTAAATTCACCATATTCAAAGCTAATTTGAAGATTGCTTCAGTGAAGATCACAGGATATTTTTTATATAAATGATTGAATGAATAACATAAACAGGAGTCTGATGAAGGTTGAGCAAACTATTTTCATCCTAAAACGTGTTTTTACAACTAATCTGATACTACTTTCATGTCTAAGTTATGAAGTCAAGGCCATACTATTTCTCTTTAACAACAGGCTGCTACAGGAAGCTGAACTTCTCATGAATGAAGAAATTGTAGAAAAGTAGCGCCTGATTTATTAAGAGAGGATAATTCTTTGAGGACAGTGTTAGTTTGTACATTTGGAGTTTAGAGAAATATTTTCTGCGAAAGGCACAAACTGTGACATTCAATTTCAGATGTGATAGATTTGATTATAGTCAGAGGGCGAGACATATTTTCTCCCTGACTTCACAGAAGAGCAGACACAGTGGAGAGTTCCCTTTGACTGCATCTAAAATATAGTGTCCTCATCTCTCATTTGACATCTCTGATTTTTTTTGCAGCATTTCAAATAATGAAGTAAAAGGAAACATCAGTTCAGGCCGGTTCCTTTGGTGACAGAAATGCAACTTTTATTAGGAGAAGATGAAATGTCATTTGAAATGCCTCCAAATACAGTCAACCCCCCCAACCCATATGAGCATTATGCTTTGTGTTAAAGCTGCAGTTGGTAACTTTTATAAAAATATATTATTCTCATATATGCTCAAACTATCACTATATCCGGACAGTAGTACTCGAGACAGATAATCAGTGCTCCTGATGCCATTTACAAGATGAACAAAGAAGACCTACATATTATATCTTTAACAATAGATGGTTTAAACAGTAATCATTTTTATTTATTTGTAGTGTACATGACTAAGACATATTAAAGGTTGTACTTGATGTTTTTAATTTTGCCTTATTTCAGGATGGGATATGGGTAATAAGTGGAAAATATTTAGGTCTGAAGGGGTTTCTGTGTCTTACAGGATGACAATAATGAGGCAAGTTTTAGTTTTCATATCCCCATCATAAAACATAAGTTTAAATGTATTTAATCATAACGTAATGCCCTCCACATGTGTGGGTCAAAATAACCCCTGCAAAAAGCTGAGAGGACATCTGCTGTTTCCTTTATTTTGACTACATTACAGGGTATATATTATACTCATTTAGTGCTGTTTTCCATCCATTAGAGGTATTTGGGATGTAGTGCATTATTTGAAGATTGTTGGTTCCATATTTGATATTAGGATCATATTTCTTGTGTTTCTAAATGCTGCCATTTAGTACTGAGAAGTTCTGCCTGTTCATTTAAGGCCTGCTTTGCTGCGGTCATGACAAGACATTTCTCTCACAGCCAATCATGGTTGTCTTCATACCCTAGTATGCGTTGACATAAGCTAAGAAAAAAAACATTGTCCAAAAGGCTCATTATCTTCTTCTCTTTTGTGCCCTCCTCCTCTCTGTTCTCCTCCACGCCTCCTCTTTCCTGCAGTCCCTTATCTTTGACGAGGTGGACCTGTCGGATGCCAGCGTTGCAGAGTCCAGCACGAAGAATGTCAACAACAGCTTCACAGTGAGTGCATCTTTGCAGTCTTACCACCCAAAACGCACACACAGAGGCACATGGCGAGCAGTGAGAGAGTAACAACATCCGGTCAGCGGTCCAGATCCCAATGTCGCGGTCGTGCAAAGTTATGATGAATATATTCAGAAGTTGAGAATTTCTTTCTTTATTGTTGTGTGTTTTAGTTGGTTGAAGAGCTTCACGTGTGGATGACAGATATTATTTACTGAAATGGCCTGAGAGATGTCTAAGTACGAGATAACAGTGGAAGTAGTAGATTCATTTTCTGGTGACAACTTAAAGGAATATTTCACTATTTTGGGAAACACACTTTCTTTCTGGCAGAGAGTTAGATGAAAGGATCATTACCAGTCTAATGTCTGTCTGTCAAATATGAAGCTACAGTTATATTTCGATGATATTTGAATGCATTTCCCAGCATTGCTTCTCATATGTTGTCACAAGGTCCTTGACAGAAATCAAGGGATGTTGCCGCGAATGCTTATCCGGGGAAAAGAATGAGCAGCTGAGCTGGATGAGCGTGTGTGCGGGAGGCGGAGGGAAATGAGCACGAGTATAATGAGCAATGAGGACGAAAACAGACGGTGAAAGAGCCAGTGGTGCCTGTCCTGTCTCTCCCCGGGTGTTACTATAATAAGAAACAAGGAGGGGGAGGAGGTGGGCAGGAGAACAGAGCCCAGAGCAGAGCATGCCGCTATTTTTAGCAGCGACTTGAAACGCTTCACTGAGTGCCTGGGATGGCTTAGCGTCTGCCATTTTCATAAATAAGATTACAGTGGGCCTGCTGCATGTGTCCTCGCCATGTGCGTGCAGTCGTGACTGCGGCGAGTGTTTGTTGCCAGGGTTCATAAACATGCCGTGAAAAAGGTTTTGGAGATGAGCTCCGGGTTCCCTTTTGAGCGTCAGCATCCCACTAAGATGGTGAGAGAATGGGGAAGGAGGGAGAAGAGGGGATGAGGAAGGAGGGAGAGACTTAGCTGAGGAAGTAAAGACAAAATACAGTTAAGGAAAATATCTATATGGAGGCGAGAGAAGGGCATGACAAAAGTAGGGCATGTCGAATGAATGGTTGATGGGGAGTGACTGCAGAACAGTTTAAGATGGCGAAGGGAAAGACACGTCAAAGGTAGTGCAGTGGAGGAAATCCTGGAGTGATGTCACACTGTCGCTAACTGCACTCGCACACATGCTCCCTCGGGGGAAAAGAGGAGGAGAGCGAGAGCGAGGCGAGAGCAAGGCACGAGCGAGAGCGAGAAGCGGGAGAGGGAAGACGGACGTGGAGGGAAAGAGGGGAGAGTGGAGAGGAAATGAAGGCAGGGCAGGCGGGACGGACCGAGAGAAGGGAGCGGTGAAACATAAAACCAAAGGTAACGTGACGTGCAGGTCACCTGCAGCGTCTACACACACACACATGCAAATCTCTGTAATGCATTGAGCCAGACACAGTCACGCACACCGACAGGGGGAGACCGGGCTTCATAGCACAGGTTCTGTGATCACGAGTGAGGGAGAGAGAGGGAGAGAGCGAGGGAGAGAGAGAGGGAGAGACCACTGCAGAGGTCGCATTGTAGGGCTTTGCTCTGACTGTGCAGAGCCATCACCAGTCGCTCTGTCTCTGTCCGTCTGTCTTGTGTGTCCGTCGGCCCTCTGAGGATGAGTGATGCTGCTGACTTCCTCCATGCAGGTCGGTGCTTCTTGGTTGGATGGTTTGAACGAGTCATGGCAGAGCTAAGATTGTTGTTTGTGCTCATTCGTGTAGGTTCTCTGCAGATGTCGGCTCAGTGGGTGTAACGTGCATGCCTGTGTTTTCGCAGAGTGTGGTGCTGAGGGGGGAGAGAGGGGAGGGGGGGAAATACTTAAATGTCACTAGCATTGATTAGAGCAGTTATTCTCAAAGTGGGAGGAAAGTTTTCATCTTTGTTCATTTGAATTATAATTTGTACAGTCTAATAGTTCATAGATTACGTTCAAATCCATCAAAAGAAATGTACAAACCTGTGTAGTACATGTCTAATGTGTTTCTAATGCATCTACATTATTAAGATTCTAAACGTGTTATTGAATAGACTACATCACATGATTCCATCACTATGGGGTCCCTGGTATATTCTCTCTCTTGTAAGGGGTTTTTGGCTGAAAAAAGATTGGGAACCTCTGGATTAGCGAAGGTAATACTTTCAATCCTTTTCTCCAGTGCATAGTGTAGACATGCAACTACTGGAAATATTCCTCCAGCAACTGTTTGCCAAAACTGTTTTTTTTTATTATGTATTTATTGAATTAACAGGGACATTAAAGATATACGTTGATGTGTAGGAATAATAAGTGCAACAGATGTTGAAAGAATCTTTTTATTTTTCAGGGTAAAGCTACTAAACAAACATGAAACAAGCGGTTTGAGGATGAAAACAACTGTGCATGTGGATGTGCATGTGTCTAGGCATGCATGTATTATTCATGACTGCATTGACACATAGATGGGAAAGTATACACGTGTGTGTGTGTATACGTGGAGATAACATATAGCGTATGTGACCGCTTAGCGCTCCCATCTTGTGCTGTTGTTTGGTCGTGCGTGTTCAAAAGGAGCCTTCGTGAATATACGATGAGGCACAGTCGCTGCAGCGCTGCTGTGAGGGAGCACCTTGTGGTCCACGTGAGGGAGAGCTCAGCCCAACCCAAACCCTAAACCCGTTACAGACTCTGCAGGGACGCACCGCCTCTCACCGACTCGCTCGTGCTTATTGGATTGGCTCCCTATTTGCCGTCCACTTCAAATCCATAGAAAGGAAACTCATGGGAACTGAAATTGGGGCACCGGCGCTCCGATTTGTTTGTTGCGTGGTTGATATGAACTGCCTTGAAGCCGCAGACGGTACCCGTGTATAAGCGTGTGTGTGTTTTTAGGGGGAGAGCAGCTGTGACGGCTCTGTCTCCACCTCCTCTGCTGTTGTGCTGCAGATCCCATGTGGGATGCAGGATCTGTGCACCGCTGTCACCAATCCTCTGCCTGTGTGTGTGTGTGTGTGTGTGTGTGTGTGTGTGTGTGTGTGTGTGTGTAAACAGTGACGGGTGTCCCTCATTATCTGTTCAGCTTTAGTGGTTGCCTCTTCACCAGAAATAAGAGCTGATGAGGCTTATAATTACATGTTCTCATCATTTAGAGATGAGGATGTTGATCAAAGAGGCCACTTGTCATTACACACACACACACACACACATACACACATCTGATATATTCAGCTCTGAAGGTCAGTCATCAAGAGAGGTTTTCCACACTTGAGGGATGCCTAGAGCCATTTTTGGAAACAGCCGTTCCTGTTTCCCCTGGCAACCAATCTTATCACTACCCCGTTCCAGACACAAGACACACACATAGAAAGACACACACATAGAAAGAGACACACATAGAAAGAGACACACATAGAAAGAGACACACATAGAAAGACACACACATAGAGAGACACACACATAGAAAGA